CCTTGTAGGATTTTGAGCATAACCTTGCTAGTGTGTGAAATGAGTGCAATTGTATGGTAGTTGGAGCATTCTTTGGCACTGCCCTTCTTTGGGATTGGGATGTAGAGTGATCTTTTCCAGTCCTCTGGCCACTGCTCAGTTTTCCAAACTCGCTGGCATATTGACTGTAGCACCTTAACAGCATCATCTTTTAAGATTTTAAATAGTTCAACTGAAATGCCATCACTTCCACTGGCCTTGTTGTTAGCCATGCTTTCTAAGGCCTACTTGACTTCAGTCTCCAGGATGTCTGGCTCAAGGTCAGCAGCCACACTATCTGAGTTGTCTGGGCCATCCAAATCTTTCTGGTATAATTCCTTTGTGTATTCTTGCCACCTCTTCTTAATGTCTTCTTCTGTGAGGTCCCTTCCATTTTTGTCCTTTATCATGTCCATCTTTGCACAAAATGTTCCTTTAATAACTCAGATTTTCTTGAACAGATCTCTGGATTTTCCCTTTCTATTCCTTCCCTCTATTTCTTTGCACTATTGATTTAAGAAGGCACTCTTGTCTCTCCTTGCTATTCTTTGGAAGTCTGCATTCCATTTTCTGTAACTTTCCCTATCTCCCTGGCATTTTGTTTCCCTTCTCTTCTCTGCTATTTGTGAGGCCTCGTTGGGCAGCCACTTTGCTTTCTTGCATATCCTTTTCTTTGGGATGTTTTTTGTTGCTGCCTCCTGTACAATGTTACAAGCCTCCATCCATAGTTCTGAGCATTTCTAAGTACATCTATATGAACAAGTAGTAATAACTCTACTTTCTTCCCCTTTTATGGACACATATTCTCACCAGCCTGTGCCAGGGACAGTGCATGGTTTTCCAACTTGCTGGCAGGTTTCTTCCTTTGTTGTTACTGATCAAAGATCAGAGATGAGAGACAAGAAATAAGCAGAAATGTAGAAGTCCAGCGGTTTTATATGGAACCAAGCTGTGTATTATAACCTGGGAAGGTGTTACACTATGGATTTTTATTTAGCAGGCATGCACAGAACTGAGCTGTGCTTTGTATCCTGGATGAGAAACTGTTTAAATTAGTAAGAGGTACACCCCCAAAAAGGGGGATATTTGAGAATTACATTTATCTCGATCCACTTTGCTTTGAACATGGGCCAAAAAAAAAGTGTTTGTAGCTTTGTGCTTGTTGCATGGGTCTTATTATGGCAAGAGCCATGCCATTAACAAGCTAGTAAGAGGGTGCTGTGATGGCAATGGGCTTGTACCCATTGCAGGGAACAAGGAGAAGACATAGAGGTGGTCACACTGATAAGGGGGAAATCAATCCCCAACTTTATCTGTGCTATCCTCATGCAACCATGCCAGGATCATATAGTGTTCCATTGACCTCTTTGTGGAGCAGAACATTATGGGAAGGGTAGTACAGCAGGATACTGTACTCTACACGATGCAGGTGGGTGCTGTTGCCTTTCTCCATCATAATTTGTTCTTGTTCCCCATGACAACGGGCACCTCTGTATGGATAGGAGCTGATCTAGTCAGATACAGAGGTTGTATTAGAAGAGAGTTGAAACTTGTAATAAGGACTAGCCAGCCTATACCTTCTAGGTACCCATATCTCCTTTAATTTAGTGACTGTAAGAACTGCAATTGATGATTTTCTGTGTTTTCCATGCCATTGAATTAATTGAAAATAAGATACACAGTATGACCCCTATCCTGTCAATAGGGCCTTTTGAATGAAATGGACCTTGCATAAAATTCTTAAAATCTCTGTTCAAAAAATATCTTCCAACATCAAGCCTTGAATTCCAAATTCCATGGTGTCTTGAAAACTCATTATCCACACTCCCAAAATGTGCCTTCAGCTCTTGGATACGGAAGCATAATCTAAGAGCACAATGGTCTTTTCTTAGGCTATAGGTTAAAATTATCCTCTGGTGGCAATTGTGCTGATTTGTTGCTGTGGTCTTGTGCAGACGGAGAACCTATGGCTTTTCTGCATTAACGCAGCTGGGGCATAATCTTAAGTAACAATTGCAGAGTGTAGCTCTTTGTGGGCAGAGCAGTGATTGCTCCAGTGGTCTTTGGCTTGCACAAGCTGAAGGATGATGCCCCACTGAGAACCAGAGGCTGGCACATGTGCTGGAGGAATGCCCTCTTGTGCAACTGGTAAAAATTAAAAGGCAGCGGCATGTGCAAGGGGATGTTGTTCATATAGTAAAAACAAACAGGATTTTGGTCTCTTTGGAGTCCAGTGATACACCAGGCAACTGAGTACCGGGAGATGCCTTCATACTTGATTTTTAAGATCCAGAACCAACTTTTATTAACTGAACTAATGCCTTCATACTTGATTTTTAAGATCCAGGACCAACTTTTATTAACTGAATTATGCATCACAGGCTTTCAAGTAATATCTCTTGGATACATACTGGCAGAACTGTTTTAGAGAAGGGAATGTGATGTATGTGGTACATTTCTAATCTTCAAGAGGGACTCAAATACTGTCATATTTAAGACTGTATTGCAGAGTGTATTGAAAATGTCAAATTCCGGAGCAAACAATGAGCAAGATCCAATGGTGGGCTTTTACTGCCAGCACCCTTGAGGGGTTATCCCCCCTCTCTCACAACAGGCCCAGCATGCCCTCAAAACTGCCCCCTGGAGGCCTGAGAAATCTTCTGGAAATAAGAAATATCTCCTTTTTTATTGCAGAGTGTATTGAAAATGTCAAATTCCGGAGCAAACAATGAGCAAGATCCAATGGTGGGCTTTTACTGCCAGCACCCTTGAGGGGTTATCCCCCCTCTCTCACAACAGGCCCAGCATGCCCTCAAAACTGCCCCCTGGAGGCCTGAGAAATCTTCTGGAAATAAGGAAGGGAAAATGGTAAACCAGCAGAATATTGAGTTTATCCCATAGGCGGAAGATTCAGATCTGTCTGCTTCACATACTGATCTATCCGTGACTGTGTCCTTTGTATGCTTACTCAGAAGTATACCCCACTGAACTCAATAAGTATTCTTTTGAGTAAGCACATGATTGTGCTGGAAAAGAAACATCTTATCCTGGGTGATGCTGATTGGCTGAAGACCTAGATCAAAGTGAACAGTGAGTAAATATCAACTGCGCAGAGTATCTGAATGGATGCTTCCTCAAGCATCTTATATTTCAGGATAATAGCCCATATAAATGAAGCTGTGACACTGGAGGAATTTGCTGGAATGTATACATAATATACAGTGAATATCCAGAACACAACTTTGATAAGATCAAAGTGAACAGTGAGTAAATATCAACTGCGCAGAGTATCTGAATGGATGCTTCCTCAAGCATCTTATATTTCAGGATAATAGCCCATATAAATCAAGCTGTGACACTGGAGGAATTAGCTGGAATGTATACCTAATATACAGTGAATATCCAGAACAATATTGATAAATTTGACTTTTCTCCACATGTAAACTAGAGGTTTCAGGATTATGCAGAGGAAATATGTTCCACTCTCCTCTATATTCCAATTGGGCTCCTGTATCTTTATACTGCAACTACAGATCAGAACTGAACCAAATGTTTTTAGTCTGCTTGCACCAAATAAAGAACACAACTTTGCTTATACAGGTTATACTGCAACTACAGATCAGAACTGAACCAAATGTTTTTAGTCTGCTTGCACCAAATAAAGAATACAACTTTGCTTCTATCTGGCAGCAGCTGTGTGTTTCTTTGTAGCTTGTAAATTTAGTGCCTATTTTCTTCTCAACATGGTGGCTCTGCGGGCTAAACCGCAGAAGCCTGTGCTGCAGGGTCAGAAGACCAGCAGTCATAGGATCAAATCCACGTGACGGAGTGAGCACCCGTCGCTTGTCCCAGCTCCCGCCAACCTAGTGGTTCAAAAGCATGTAAATGCAAGTAGATAAATAGGGACCACCTCGGTAGGAAGGTAACAGCGTTCCGTGTCTAAGTCGCACTGGCCATGTGACCACGGAAGATTGTCTTTGGACAAAATGCTGGCTCTGTGGCTTGGAAACGGGGATGAGCACCGCCCCCTAGAGTCGAACATGACCGGACAAAAATTGTCAAGGGGAACCTTTACCTTTACCTTCTTCTCAAGTCTGCAGTCAGAGCTTTTCCCCAGAGACCAGAAATGAGATCTTTTCACAATGACAAAAACAATGGTATGGATTGCTAAAGTCTGGCTTGTTATGTTACCTGAATTACATTTATGCTTATTAGGTTAGGTATAACTTGGTTCCAACTTTATGGGATGTAACAGCAATAACTATCAGCACATCTTTCTGAGCACCTGATCTCTCCCACAGATAGGTAGATGCAGAAGGCCATCTCCAACTACTAGAAGGACAAAAACCTTATTACCTAGGAATTCATTTTAAAAAGACAATTCCTTATATTAATGTTTTTTATTCAAATGAGATTTATCATCACAATCCTTTGGATTACAAAACAGAATAAAGGAATGTAACAGCATTGTCACTGCAGTCCAATTAGCATGGATGTTTGGTATTTGAACATTGGCTACCCTTGTGCAACAAAATACATGGTGCAGTGGAACTACACATTTGTTTCTTTTAGCAGACAATGATGACATGCTCATCATTTAATATAGGACATTTGAAAAAGACATTTAATATATTTTCTTTTAGCAGACAATGATGACATGCTCTTTGAAAAGGACATTTAATATACAAGTACTGTACCTCATTCCCTTTTCTGCTTTCAGAGAGGAGTTAGGTGACTTTTAGTCTGTTCCCATTATGCTTAGTACCCATGATAAAAAACATCCCAAAGAAAATATGGTCACATGTTTCCATGATCGAATGAGCTAAGCTGTAACAGATTATTCAGGTATGTTTCACAGTATTACATATTTAGAAAGGGGATGAGTAACATCTCAAGCAGGGATTTAGGCAGGTATTGTCCAAGGTATTCAGTTACATTGATGTATTCTTCTCAGAAATGTTTCCTAAGGCACTAGAAGATTGGCACGAATAATATGGCAAAGAAAGTGAATGGGTTTGATTCTAAATTATCTTGACAATTAGGAAAAATCAAAACGAGGGGGATACTAAAATGGTTATATTTTTCTTAGTGGTACAGCCCATTTGTGAAGACACTGATAATGGGGGCCAATTTAAACATAAACTCAGGCACCTCGTTGAGCTACTGAAGCAAAATCGTATGATATGTAATGTGAAAGTAACATGGCAAGCTATTTGGGCCACATAGTCGCTAGCTAGGGCTCAGGCATGTTAATGCATCTTAACAAAAAAATGGTTATATTTTTCTTAGTGGTACAGCCCATTTGTGAAGACACTGATAATGGGGGCCAATTTAAACATAAACTCAGGCACCTCGTTGAGCTACTGAAGCAAAATCGTATGATATGTAATGTGAAAGTAACATGGCAAGCTATTTGGGCCACGTAGTCGCTACCTAGGGCTCAGGCATGTTAATGTATCTTAACAAACTCGCTTGATGCTGCGGGTGAACTTGCACTCATCTCCCAAACAGCCAGCCGTATTCATCTATGTGCACACATTTTAAACAGGCAAACCATATCCACAGTGTTTGAATATTAGAGAGCAAAAAGGATTCCTTTCCAAATTTTTCTCTCTCGTTTTGGCATGATGGAGACTTAAAAATTCTGTTGCCTTATGCTATGCTGCAAAAATATTCATCCTCCTTATTGCTCCTTGCACTCAACACTTCCGTTCTGTTGTTCTGAATTCCACTGCAACTTTCCATCTTCTCCTAATTGTACTGCACCGCTTGCCAGGAGCTCCATAGCTGCAGGGAAGGCTCTGTGCTCTGCCTCCTTCACTCTTTCTGACAAGGTCTTCTCTGTGTCACCAATCTTCACTGGAACAGCCTCTTGGAAAATGATGGCTCCTGCGTCGACTTCTTCCTGGAAGGAAAGGTCAAAAACGTTGGCAAGATGGAGAGAGAGCAAAGCTCCTGAGTTAACACAGCATTTGTTTGCTTTCATGAGCTTTACACAGCAAGATGTTTAGCTGCAACTGTATGCTACGTTGAGACTGGATAATATATTTCTAAATGAAAAATGCATCACAGAAATAGTATGTGGTCTGAATGTTAAGCAATCACAGCATTGTAACTGCATTTTCTCTGGTGAAAACACACAATAACTCAGTGGTTTCCAAACTTTTTCAACTTGTGGCTCATTTGACTTACTGGCCACTGGCTGCGGCTCTCGAGTACAGTAGGATTGCTATATCCACAGAATCAGTACCTGCAGTTTTACTTATCCACTGCCTGAAAATAAAATTACACACACACACACACACATGAATGCAGTAATACCCACTGGGAATTTGTTCTGAGCCCCTCATGGATATTGAAAACTGGATAATAGTGAACACAATAGATAGATATAGCATGGTAAAAGAAAAAAACAGAAAAAATATTTTCACATGCCTTACCAGAACTGGCTACTAGAGGTCACCAGAGACCATGCTATGTATTCTTCACTAAGAATTAATCATAGCATGTCCTCTGGTTCCAGTAATATATGTAAAAATAGTTTTCTTTCCTGGATTTTTTTTCTTTTAATATTTTTAGTATTTTCAGACTATGGATAAGTGAATTGGCCGATACTGAGCCATGGATATTCCGTTCTGTTGTTCTGAATTCCACTGCAACTTTCCATCTTCTCCTAATTGTACTGCACCGCTTGCCAGGAGCTCCATAGCTGCAGGGAAGGCTCTGTGCTCTGCCTCCTTCACTCTTTCTGACAAGGTCTTCTCTGTGTCACCAATCTTCACCGGAACAGCCTCTTGGAAAATGATGGCTCCTGCGTCGACTTCTTCCTGGAAGGAAAGGTCAAAAACGTTGGCAAGATGGAGAGAGAGCAAAGCTCCTGAGTTAACACAGCATTTGTTTGCTTTCATGAGCTTTACACAGCAAGATGTTTAGCTGCAACTGTATGCTACGTTGAGACTGGATAATATATTTCTAAATGAAAAATGCATCACAGAAATAGTATGTGGTCTGAATGTTAAGCAATCACAGCATTGTAACTGCATTTTCTCTGGTGAAAACACACAATAACTCAGTGGTTTCCAAACTTTTTCAACTTGTGGCTCATTTGACTTACTGGCCACTGGCTGCGGCTCTCTAGTACAGTAGGATTGCTATATCCACAGAATCAGTACCTGCAGTTTTACTTATCCACTGCCTGAAAATAAAATAAAATTACACACACACATGAATACAGTAATACCCACTGGGGATTTGTTCCAAGCCCCCCTGGATATTGAAAACTGGATAATAGTGAACACGATGGAGCGATATAGCATAGTAAAAGAAAAAAACAGAAAAAAATATTTTCACATGCCTTATCAGAACTGGCTACTAGAGGTCACCAGAGACCATGCTATGTATTCTTCACTAAGAAGTAATCATAGCATGTCCTCTGGCTCCCTCTAGTGACTGGTTCCAGTAATATATGTAAAAATAGGTTTTTTTCTGGATTTTTTTTTCTTTTAATATTTTTAGTATTTTCAGACTATGGATAGGGGAATTGGCACATACTGAGCCATGGATAAAGTGGTCCTACTGTACACCATCCCGAGGTGTATTACCAGGACTGGCCACTAGATGGAACCAGAGACTATGCTATATACAAGTAGTTTAATGGTTATAACCCCATGGCCTCACTTCTCCAACAGAAGCAGCCTCTTGAAAAAAGCTACAGTTTTTGTGGGGAAAGAGCAGGGAAGGCTGTCTTGTGAACAGGAAGGCAGGAAACTCAGTTCTTTGATAAGACTGGGACAGAGTTTCCTCTCTGCATCATGCACAGATACCAGAGAAAATGCAGGAAAGTGCTGTACAATACTTTGGGGGGGGCGAAGGATGAGAGGATTTGGTGCTGGCCCCGGGTGGGCTTCCCAGGGCCCCATGTTGCCACAGCACACAGTTTGGGAACCACTGATTTAACTGGTTGCAAAAGAGATTCGCAGAGAAAAATGCAAAGCACTCATCGCTATGAAAAACTGATAAAGTTCTCATAATTTTGAGAAGACGGAATTATTTTCACATGGTCAAGTAAATAAAGTTGCCCAAATAATTCTGCCTCCATTAGCACATATTTCTCGAGTTAATTTTGGCATGGATTAAGTTCCTTTCATCCCTCACCACTAGCTATACTGTTAATAGTGATAAAGAGCTGGTATGGGTCCAACAATACTGTATCTGGACATTCACATCTTCACAATTTCTGACACTGCTTTTCAGATGTAGTTGAGAACAGATTATACTACAGTGGTCCTGAGGTGCAGCAGCTGTCCAGCTGCTGTATTATTTGTACTAGGAGTTTTGGTCAGTGGCCAACATACAGTATGGTGAACTTAGTATTATTTTCTTGCAGTACTTGTTGTTGGCTAATAAGCAAACTCACAAAATATATTAAGATTATATTTGTTATTAACAAAGCAATGGGCGAGATAACATACAGCAACAAAGTGCACTGTGCAGCCAGTGACTCGGACGCCAGCCTCTAGCACCAATTTATGGGCATTTGCTCCTTTAAATGAAGGCAGCAGTGAAGGATGAATGTTCAGTATTTTTCCTAGAAAGAAAAGAAATTGCATTGTTTTTAATTATCTCTAATAAAGTACGAAAACAATGTGTCCTTCATCAAGCCAGAGAGTAGGATCCAAATTAAGTCAACATTAAAGCATTTAAATCAATAGAACTTAAATTGAACATGACTGAATCCAGATCCAAATCATAACATGTAGAACTAAACACTATTTTCTCCTAGGTTTCAGTTTCTTGTATGAATTGCTACTGATTAGCAGTAGATCAGAAGCTAACATCTGAACCAATATTATCAGGGAACCACAATATGTAGTCATGTTTTGAAGCTGGTTGGAAAACAATGATTACTTGGATTACCATTAGCTCCACTTGACAAACCATGGTTTGGCACAGTTCTCTCTGCCCTTAGAGGTAACTGCCTGGGATAACATCTAGTAAATTCTTAGGGAAGGAACAAAAAAGAGGGAACACACACAAACCATGATTCCCCTGCACCCTAGGAATAACAATCATGGGTTAGATTTATGTCGGAACTGATTTCATATAATATTCTTTCCCTACTTTTCTAATAAGTAACTACTCATTCATCACATCTGCTGATCAGTTTATACCTGATATTTGGAGTAGGATAAAAGAAGCTTATATCCTAGCACAGCAGAACAGAAATCTTTCCCTGCTCTCTGAGCATAGAAAAAACTGACTTACAGGAGGAAGCTGAGGCAGAAGGTGAGCTCTGTTGGGAGCACTTTTTTTTTGGGGGGGGGAGGGATCTTTTTCTAGGCTGACCTTTGCTCTCTGTGTCCGCATGGTCTAAAGGGGCGGGGATTTGGCTTTAAATTAGTGCGAGCAGAAGTGTGCGCCTAATGGTGTGCGAAATTCTCTGATTCTATTTTTTACCCTAATCTGGTAAACAGGAAAAGGCAAATAGCATTGCATACACCTGAGGGTCAGGAAAGTTTTAGAGATCATACTTCCACACTCTTAGGGAGCAGGCTGGGTGGATGGGGCTCGTCAGCCTTGGAAGGCAGCCCATCTAGGAGAAGGAAAACTCTGATTTCAAACCTCCACTGCCTTGGACTATTTCAGCAATGTGGAGAGGGGGAATTTGCTGCTTGGGTAATAGCCTATACTCCATATTATTTTACCCAGGCTTCGTGCTCTGGAGAGGACACTCCAGCTTCTCATACAGCGTCGAAACAACACGGAAAGGGATTGCCACTCTCAAATTGGCCTTCTCAACCACACCAGACACTGTTCCAAGTCCTCCATACAGAGCATGTTACCATAGTCTCTCGAGACTGAAGGATGCCTAACACAGACTGTTTGCCCATCTAACTCCATATTGTCTACTTCTGTCTGGCAGTGCCTCTCAGGGGTTGGCAATTTGATATCCATCAGTGATGATGGCAGCTGCAGTCAAAACATTTTTGGCACCCTGTATTATCTTTTACTATGGGGGAAAAAATCTCCTGAAGATGACAGGCACTGAACGTGGTCTTCTTTGCATGTGGTCTAGTACTCCCTTTCAATGTCTCAACACAATTTTCTTTTGAAATGCACTACATGGTAAGGCTGTTGAGAGGCAAAAAGAGAGACAGACAGACAACATGTGTTCACACAGCAGATGAACCTTGCAGAAACTGATCTTGGAAATGTATTCGCGAAGGCTTTCACGGCTGGGATCTAATGGTTGTTGTGGGTTTTTCGGGCTCTTTGGCCGTGTTCTGAAGGTTGTTCTTCCTAATGTTTCGCCAGTCTCTGTGGCCAGCATCTTCAGAGGACAGCACTCTGTACTCTTAGTGCTGTCCTCTGAAGATGCCGGCCACAGAGCCTGGCGAAACGTTAGGAAGAACAACCTTCAGAACACGGCCAAAGAGCCCGAAAAACCCACAATAACCATTAGATCTTGGAAATGTAATTATGGCCGTTATTGTAACTGGTTTTCAGAGACATTGGTAGGGGACTGTATTGAAAGAAAGGCCAAGGTCCAAGATGTTCATGTTTTCTGCTGCTGCTTTGTTTTCTCTTTCATTAGAAGGCTCCAAAAAGGCAGAAACTGACAAACATGTCCTGCCATAATTTCTCCTCATCTTGTCACAGCATTTCCACTTCAGGAGTGGGCAGTCTGTGTCCCTAAGATTGCACATGGTTTAATGTCATGCAGCCCCTGGCCTAATTTCAAATGTTCTCTATGGCCAGTCCATTCAGATCAGTGAAATAGGTTCCTCTTCCTCACTCTTCCTGCCAACTGTGATGACAGACAGAATTAAACAGGGAGAGAGAAAGACAGGGAGAAATGGAGTGTCCAAAAGAGAGGAAAAGGAGACAGACACATAGAAAAGAGGTGTCCCCATCTTCATTTGGGTCAGTCCTGGTTTGTGCTCTCCTTGTGTCTAGCATGAAGCTTCTCACATATTATCCCTGAGGGAGTGCAGCTCCTGATGGGTGGAGCTTACCCACCTCTGTTTGGTGGCTATTCATCTAAAACCCATCATTCATACTGTTGAGCAATATACTCTCTACAGATCTTCACAATCTTTTGCGATGACATTTCAACAGTGTCTCTGAAGTTTATCTCTGTGTGCTTTGTCCAGTATGTTTCACACCATCAGCCAAAGTAAGACAATAAATTATGGCTTGAAAACAAATTTATAAATTTGATGTAAAGGCTCCTAATAGTCCTAGGAAACAATTGCTTTTCTTTCTCAAGACAAACCACAGTGAAAATCAATGAAGCGCTATCATTACAATTTAGGAACAAATAATCTGGAAAGAGTTTATCACTTCACTGCAGAATCACTGTACTGTAGAATCAGCAATAACGGAGGAAGCTCTAATAGAGTTAGTTTACTGACAACATGGGGAACAACCATGACCCTCTTTTTTATCACTGCTGTTGACAGTAAAAAAAAATCCAGAGGAAATGTACGGATATTCCTCCAAAGTAGTGGAAAACTATATTGTGTTGAGATAAGAAAATTAAACAAAATTGGCTTAACTTAAATTGATTCTACAACTCAACTGTTTGGCATAATACAGTGCTTAATTACATGGATATTTCTTGTTGATATCTAGTATTTCTGATGGACTTACCATTCCACTTTCTGACAAAAGGACCAGACAAAATCCGCATAAATCCCGCAAGGCAAATCAGCTCAACTGAGAACTCTTCAAGGACTTTGTCAACTGCACTGTCAAACTCTGTACGACTGCTGTACTGTTTGTGGTCAATGACCTATGACAACAAATGACAGAAGACTGGTATGAGTGTGGAATTCCTTTAGCCCACATCTCCCCCAACATTTTGCTCTCCAATGTAAGCCTAAAATTCCCATCCTCCCCAGCCAATAAGCTCATTGGCTTAGAACTGCTGATCTGATTGTGTTTTCTGCCAGCTTGGCAATTCTGTTTCTATGGTGTATACAATTCCAAAGACATATGTTTTAAGTCATACGGAAATCATGCCAAAACACAGTTCATACACACTTGGGCCTTCAGGCTCGCTTTGACCCAGCTTCTGATTTTGATTTGCAAAGGGATTTCAAATCACCACCTGAGAATTCAGATTGTACAATTAAGCATTCTAAATAACAAATGGGTATGATGTCTGACTTGAGCATGGGTTAAGAGTATTATTGCATATGATGTTAGAAATGGCTGAAATCTTGTTGTTTGACATAGTAAACCTGCTGAATCAGTGGGGATTTGGTGAGTGAATCCCTCTATAAATTTCATTGATTCTAATGAGCCTACTCGAATTGTGACTTAGAGCAAGCCCATTTGAATCAATGGTATTTACAAAGGAGTTGACACACCAAATCCCCACTGATTCAAAGGGCCTAAGCTAGAGTACCTTATTACACTAAGCAATAGAATTTCAGCCAATAGAATTGGAGGCAAGTTTAGAAATGTAAAGGTTTTTTGTTTTGGTTTTTTCTTATACCACACGTGTGGGAATAATGAATAAGCCTTGCATTGAATAACCTTTGGTTGCTTACTTATTTATTGTATACAGCAATAAATGTTCCACTTACTTTTGTAGGAATGCCGGCTCTTTCAGCCTTTTCTAGCCCTTCCACACCAGCTTTATTAGAAACAACAAGCACTATTTGTGCACAGCTAGTCACTTTCCTTGTGCTGTTTATAAGAGCTTCCAGATTTGTACCTGAAGAATTCAGAATAATAAAATCCATAAAGTTTCTTAAAGTTGCAGAATAACACCTTTATTCAATAGCTATCTTTACAAGTTTACTAAGGAATTGAACCTACTCTACAAACAACTTACAAGTGAATTATCTTTCCATAAAAATATATGCTTTCTTCTAAATTTCATAATTACACCTTCCAAAATAAGAAAAAGATTACACACAACCTCATTCTATGCATATGCCTCCTAAGTGAGAATAGGATTTCAGCTTTCATGTTTCTAGTTTCATGAGAACTCTCTTCATTACACATCGCTGAATCAAAAAATTTAACTTGAAAAGAGAACACCGTCTTTCTTCATCCAAAAATACTGTATCTTGTTGTCACGATCCCCACATGCCCCCTGCTTGTTTCACCAAACGAAGAGCTCATGCTACATGTCTTTCAGCTGCTACCAGTTGATTACATCAACATTGTTTAATATTAATAATAGAAGTCCAGGCAAGGTGTCATTTTTAAAATAACCAAATAGAAATTGTTTATTCTTACACATTTTCAAGCAATGTTGTTAACTTTTAACAAACATCCTCCTTCATCACCCTCAACTACCACTCTCCTGCCCAAATTCCAAAACTCTCTCAACTCTCAATCTTCTAATCTCAAAACCTCCTATCTCTCTATCTTCTAATCTCTACCTCCTCCTGCTGAGTCTCTTATATCTCATGACTGCCCCTCCAGCACTCCCACTGGTCTATGCAGATAGCATATGAATATCCATGATCTGGGTGGACGCCACATTTGTGTTTCCAGCAAAGAAACAATGGGCCACCAGAAGCTGATTACTTAAAAAACAGATACAATGGCTTGATCTGCACTTGTTTATAAGTATCACCACAATTATCTCATATACGTATATATAGGATCTCACCAATATAGGATAAATATAGAGTCAGGAAATATCATTCCCCTCCCCAGTTTGATCTACCTGCTTTATGCCTGTCTATAAAAAGACCACAAGCAATATCCCCAAAGATGCCTGAAGTTTAATTTTCCTTTCTTACAACAGACAATGCAGATCTCACCTGTTCCAGAGATGAGGACACCTACTCTTGTTTTTCTTGGCTGAGTTTTCCTTGGTTGACTATGGAAGGACTCCACCCTATTGGCTTGTAAGGCCTGGAGCAAGTTATTAACTTCAACACGGGCAGACCCTTCAGTTCAGAAAAGGGAGCATTAGTAGGGAAGACATTCATATAACAAAAACTCTTCTTGGAACTTTATAGACTAATAACTTCAATAGGGCACATGCTTTTGTGGATGGCAGCCCATTTTATCAGATTATTTGATAGAGTGAAAGCTAATGCTGAATAAAACATATTAGTCCTTAAGCTACCACTGAATTCTTTGTTGTTTTTCTTGCAACAGGCTACTGCCCTGGAAATTATTGCAATGGACCATACCACAGTAGCTCAGAATATCTCTTGAGAGTTCAGTAAATAACTGCAATTTCCAATTGCTTTCTTTATCCAAAGGAACATCAAAAATACATGGATGCACTAGAGTTTTATTTCAGAAAACTAGAAAGGGTAAATTAGCTCAAAACCCAGTTCTAAGTCAGAGCATTTGTAACTATAGCATATCTTTTTCCTACCCAGCATCCTTGAGAGGTTTGGGCTACATCTCCCAATCATGTTGGCTGATGCCATTGCACACTGTAGACAAAACATCTGGAGTAGCTAATGTAAAGCCACTCTGAGTATACCTGCTGGCCAGCTACAAATTGGTAGAAGATTCTGCTATCTTCATAGGCAGCTTATTCCACACAAAACTGTTTTGAGTTTTAATGGTTATCCTAAATCCATAATCATTTCTTTAAAGTTTATTAAGCCAGAATGATTGGAGGCTGGAACAAGGTGAACATATTAAGTGATATTTAGCTTAGAAAAATGGTAACTGTGGAGGGACAGCACAGTGGTGTACATAATTCCGTATAGTACAGAGAAAGTGGATGGTGAGACTTTTTTCCCTTTCTCATAATGCTGGAACTGAAGCTCCATGGTAGGCAAATTGGGATAGATAAAAGGAAGGTCTTCTTCGTTGAGCATGTGAAATTATGGAATTCACTGCTGTGGTGATAGTGGCCAACCTGGATGGCTTTAAAAGGAGATTGGCCAAATTCACAGAGGTCAAGACAAGCAATGGAGGGGAACATAAGTGGAAGATTGTTACTGTTCTCATGTCCCATTCATTGGCTTCCCATAGCCATCTGCTTGGCAACTATTTGAACCAGAATGCTGGACTGATAGACCTTTGGTCTGATCTAGCATGGTGATGTTCTTATCTTTTCTGTAATATTTACACAGGCTTAGGGAGAATTGGTGGTGCTGGAGGAGACTCTTGAGAGTCCCCTGGACTGCAAGGAGAACAAACCTATCAGTTCTAAAGGAAATCAACCCTGAGTGCTCACTGGAAGGACAGATCCTGAAGCTCAGGCTCCAATACTTTGGCCATCTCATGAGAAGAGAAGACTCCCTGGGAAAGACCCTGATGTTGGGAAAGTGTGAAGGCAAGAGGAGAAGGGGACAACAGAGGATGAGATGGTTGGACAGTCATCGAAGCTACCAACATGAATTTGACCCAACTCCGGGAGGCAGTGGAAGACAGGAGGGCCTGGTGCGCTCTGGTCCACAGGGTCACAAAGAATTGGACACGACTAAACAACAACAAGGGAGAATTCAGATAATGTGTGACATATACAAGGGAATCTACAGCCCTTCCAGCCATATTTGTCAACTATACAGGAAAGGTCCCATGAAACAGCTACAGCACTATCATTATGTTATAAAAAAATCAGTTGCTCAAAAGCCAAGGTTTAGTACAGTTACCTGTTTGACAACGGACAACTTTCCCAATCAGCCATGCCTCTTCATGCCGCTGGATGTCTCTCAGAACCTGCCCTGCCAGCTCCTTTTGCACTACCAAGACCGCACCAATTCCACAATTAAATGTTCGAGCCATTTCCTCTTCTGAAAGATTTCCCTCTTTTTGAAGCCAGGAGAAGATCTTGGGTATCTTCCAACTGAAAGCATCTGAAATAGCCAGGATTGTAGCAATCTTTTTTCTTTGCATCAAACAAGTATCAGAGATCAATCATGCATTTATAAACGCTGTACTCAAATGCCTTGTGTGTCCATGGTTTGAATTTCTCTTTACAAGTATAAAAATTCTGAGTGCAGTAGCAGCATCAGATCCTGTTGCTAACCGTGGCAATGCTGGCAAGTGAGGAAAACGCCTGATGGGTGACATTCAGTGTTACAGGAGCAGTTGTGCGCCTGTGCAATGAGATCTCCCTTCTGCTCCAGGAGTCCTTCAGGCCTGCCATACTGGATCCAGAGGTTGCATGGGAACCTTTAACAGGAACTACAAACCTGTTGCGCCAGAGGTATCTGGTGGGTGGGCAGACAGACACCACAGGGTACAAAAATAGCAAGACTGTAGAAAATGCAATACTGCATGTGAAAGGGGCACCTTTCAAAATGACCTTCAAAATGTCTGTTTTGAAGTGCGTTGAGGATTTCGATAAATGGGGGGGAAACCATGGTTACGAAAAAGTAGATTGGAAGAACATGATGGCTGGTTTTGCCTGGCATGATCCATGTACCAAAACATCCTTACCTAAAATGACACCAAACGATGCTGGGAGGACTCGTGGGATGTTCTCCAGCAGTCCCCCGCCAGTGATATGGGCATAAGCCTTCACAGAACCGGAACGGAGGATGGGCAAAAGGAACTTGCTGTAGATTTTAGTAGGTGTAAGCAGCTGCTCTCCTGTAATTATAAGCAGTTTTAAAAGATTATTACAAGGGAAAAACACAGGCAGACATAAACAGAACATGAAAACCTGAGATGGCTACTTTGGGGAGCCTAATCATACAAGGCAATGAAGTACAATGGAAGTGTAGTGGGGCTGCACAACACTCCTGGTTCTGCTCCCCGTGTTGGTTGGTTTGCCCAGTTGCTTTCTCAGCATTCACTGTCAGTGAGTGGACAAATACAGGGGAAAGCCTGTACATATAGCCCAGAATTCTGTGGCAAAATATCATGTGCAAGAGAGCAATGTATGTATGTATGTATGTATGTATGTATGTATGTATGTATGTATGTATGTATGTATGTATGTATGTATGTATGTATGTATGTATGCATGTATGCATGCATGCATGCATGCATGTATGAATGTATGAATGTATGTAATTGTTGAATTGTGCTTAAAAAGGATCCAAGGTGGTTTACATCATTAAAAAGACAATATCCAAAAGCTAAAAACTCAGACCACCAGTCTTTAAGGAAAAGCCTGCCTGAAGAGAAAAAAACTTTGCCTGCTTGTGGAAGGGCAGCAAATATGGGGCCATCTTAGCTTCCTGTAGAAGGGGGTTCCAATGTCTGGGAGCAGCGACACAGAAGGCCCTCTCCCGGGCCTCCTCCAAGTGCACCTGTGAGGGTGGCAGGACCAAGATAAAAGCCTATCTTGATGATCTTAAAGCCCGGGCAGGCTCATAGAGGGAGATGCAGTTTTTTAGTTAGCTTGGGCCCAAGCCGTTTTACAGCTTTATAGATTAAAACCAGCCCTTTGAATTGTGCTTGGAAATGGATTGGCAGCCAGTGGAGCTGCTGTAATGGGAATTGTATGTTCCTTGTGACCAGCCCTAGTTAGCAATCTGGCTGTGGCATTTTGGACCCTCTGGAGTTTCCGAACAGTTTCCAAAGGCAGCCCGTGTAAAGTAGGTTGCAGTAATCCAGCCAAGATCTAACTAGGGCACGTGTAACCAAGGCCAGATCAGATTATGAAGCTTCCCCCCCACCCCATTTCTCTCTCTCTTTCTTTTTCTCTTTTGAATTTTGCAGGATCTCAGTTATACTCCCAAGCCTATTACCAGGGTAGGCAATTAAAATCATTTTACAGTGCACATACTAGGGCTAATGAAGTAACAAAACAGAAGGGGCAGAAGTTCTGAAGCATGGCCAGAAATAAATCCTTGTATTCTGAGAAGAAAAACACTATATGTATAGCTCTTACCTAATGTCTGGTTGCTAGAGCCACCCACGGAAGGCGAGGAAAAATCTAAAGATGATTTGTCAACAATCTTTCTCACGAGGCTAAACCCATTGCTGTGAATGCCAGAGGAAGCAATTCCAACAACCAAATCCCCATCAGCTACTCTGTCCAGCATGGGAAGCATCTGTCCGCGTTCCACAGCTCCCACTGCAAAGCCAGCCAGATCATACTCGCCCGGCGGATACATGCCGGGCATTTCTGCAGTTTCTCCTCCTGA